TAAATATTTGTATTAATACAAGATATCGTTTGATATTTTTAAATGTCAAAGTTTAATTAATTTTTAAGAAATGGTAAGACATTTTTGAATTTTTAATACCGATAAAATGTTATTTACTAATGGAAAAATTGTTTTAACTCTTTCGAAAATATTTATTTCGTCAAATAAATACGATTACGTATTTTTCTACGAAAACTAAAATTAACTTTCTACAATTTCGCTATTTTGTTACAAAAGCAATCGACTGTTTTTGCGAAAACAGCCGAAACTTATTAATCTAATAATCTTACTTATATATACAACTATGCGCACATATCAATGGTGTCAAATCTAAAAATTCACTCGAAAATAAAATTAAGTTAAGTATATTAATTCTAACAAGAAATACGATGTGAAATATTGTTTCCTTTCAATATATTTATAGAAAAATTTAAATAATATGTAACATTAAATTAAAATGAGTACAATTTTACTTTGTTTAACGTTAAACGATAGCTTGATAAACTAGATTATAACCAGTTTTCTAAGAAGGAGTAAGACGAATTTTTCGCATTAAACCGTTGTGGCCGAGTTTGTTTTAATTTTTTTTTTTATTAAAAGAAACTCTTCTGTAGTTGGAAGGAATCAATGTAACATGGCAGACAAGGCAGTCCTATATTTACTCCTATTTCTGGTTATATTTAGCATTTTGGACGTGATGCGTTGTGTTGTAAAAGCGCCTAATCGTCGCTTCTTTGATATATTTCTGTCTAGTTTCTGTTTATTATTGTTATTTTTTCTAAATTCTATTATTTTAAAATAGTTCTAAAACCACGTCAAAGCATTCGAAAATTAAAAAAAAAAAATTCATTGTTCTTATTTTTAAATAAATAAATAAACGTATAAACGAATCAAGATATGGATGAAGAAAGGGAGGATGCTGAAAAAATGAATAGAAAAATCAAAAATCCACTTCAAGTAAGCCAAATAAGTATCAAATGTATGAATATAAACCTATAATAATGTGTTTTAATGTACATAAAACATGGCTACATCCAGCAAATGTCAAAGGGGTCGATTTTCCCATCTGGAAGCAGCAGGTGATGGAAATATGTTATAGGAAAATATAAATTGACGTTTTCTCTTTCTTTTCTAAAACGGACAAATTTATACGATAAAATATTAAAGATGATCGTTTCTTAATCGATTCCGAGCTGTTTTTTAACACGAGGTTATATATATATAATTTGGATGGATAAACAAACCAGAGCAGAAACTACGTGACCTCAGACACATCTCGGAGGTTTGTCGGACAGTAGCCAAAAATGACGCACCAGTCAGACTCTATTGATCAAAGAGGGTTGCGTGCAAGTACACCGTGGGTGTGTTCGTCGTTGGAGGTGTGTGTGGTTTGAAGGTCACCTTGACGAGGAATGTACCTTGGCACGTTGCCATATACTAGAAGCGATTGTGTCGTCTACTTTTTCTTCTTTCTACTGTTTTCGGATGTAAAAAATTCGACCCTAAATATATAAAATTGCGCTACCGGTTTTTGTTTATAATCTTCTTCAATATACTAATTTTATTTTTATATAATTTATATATAGACTATATATATATTCTCATTNAGAAGAAACCTTTTAAAGTTTAAAAATAAATTTTTGTTCTAGAAATAATATATATTTACTTCAATATACTGTACTTAATTGACACGTTTATAATTAAACGTATGCCAATGAAATGCGTTTTATATACGAAAACATCTGTTAAGATTATAATTATTATAATTAATTTAGTAATTAATAAACGATTTTAATAATTTTATAGGTAAGTTAGTGTTGGAGTTAATGATAGAGATGAAGGAAGAGGAATGATGCAACATCTTCCTCTCTCTCTTTATCCAGAGACGAATTTCGGAGCATGGATTATGTTAATCCATAATCTTGATTAATCCAAGAGATTAATAAGAATTTAGATGATTTTTTTTACCTGGAGATGTTGAAATACAGTAAAAATTTGAATTAAGATGTTGAATTATGATGAAAATTCTGATTGATAGAGCGAGATTTGGGATTAAAAATCATTGTAATTAGGAGTAGATGATGTTTTAATTTAAAATTAGAGCTTAAAATATTGATTTTTCAAATCAAATTTGGTAGCAATTACTTTCTCATTAGTCACAGCCGAGAAATTTTCAGATTGTTATTGCCCTATTATTGGTCGTATCACTCAGTAAAAACCAATTAAATAGGATCTAATAAAGAAATTCGAATTTTAAATGACTTAATCGTATTAGAAACCTTATTTATCATTTATTAAGTCGAGCGTTAAAATGCGTCGGATGGCGTAAATGTAATAAAAATACGATAATTCTCGAAAGAAATATTAAAAAATGTCGCAAGCGATTTCGTCATCGTCTTACTTCCCAGTAAAGATCTCGAGACCATTAATTTTTAAAACTCCCCTCGGCGTAAATTGCGTCACGTATTTTTGGGTGCCGTTTCTTTAATTCGGTGTCGTCTTATTTTCCGTTTTGTATTATTTATCTGCCATCATCTGCGATAATTTTCTAAACGTTTATGACCTTTACGCGCCTTTTACCTGTTAAAGGTAAGTAAAGTGACGTAGGAGGCTCGAACCAGTAAAGCCAACGATCGCCTACGACGCATGCGTAGTTTAGCCGACACAGTGACGCGGCATTAGTGACGTAAGCGACGTATATTCCTTCCGTGCGGCTACGTCTCAACGTTTTACTCTTCTGCTTCCCCAGGGGTGAGGTCTCGAGTCGAGGGCTCTCGAAGTCGACCGCTTACTGAATAAATCTGTGATATGTAAAATGCCTTACATACGGAGATCTGTAAGTTTTTAATGGTAATTCTGTGAGTATAAGTAAAAAAATATATAAGTAGAATATCTTAAGAGCAAAACCCGTTTTGCCAGTTCCGATTGTTTTTTCTCCAGTTCCTTTTCTGTTCGGTTTCATTGCGGTGTTTAATTATAACCGGGTTCAATGGCGTCCTAATTTAACACGGCCATGCCGTCGGTCGTGCCTCTTTGTTGGAGCCATCCCATTGGCTGTCGCGAACACACCTCCGTTTCTATTGGTTCATCGATTAGGGTGTGTCGCTCGTGAAACATTAACTGCTGTCGGAATAGCTTCTATGTAGACGAAAATTTTCTAAAAACGTCGCAATTATTTATTTATTTATTTTTAAATTATCAACATTCTAAATTTACAAATGTATATATATAAACCCATTTAATTTACATTAATGTTTATTTATTTTTTAATTGAAATTTCTATTACACGCTTCAAATTTCAAGCATTATTTATATAAATTGAAATTTTATAAGCGTGTCTTAGTTAATTTTAATAGTTTTTTCGTTATCTTTTTTCCTATTTTAACGACATTCCGAACGTCAAGTATAACAGACATTGTTAGAGATGATTTTTCAGTTTCTCAAGGTTATCAGTTAAGAGAATGCAACAGTAATTCCATTCCTACTAAACCTGAATTTTAATAATTAAATTCTGAATGAAAATTTAAATTTTTTAAAAAATAATTTTCCTCCTTCGAGATACTCCTAAATAGGAATGTTTTTATTTATAAATGAATGCCAAGTTCTAGAATTAAATAAAAAAATAAACTGTAGTAAATGTGTGCATTCTTCTCACTTGCTGTATATAGATGCAGGGTTGATACATTTCTTGGTATAATTTTAGTATTCTGAGAAGTGCCCAGCAGCATGCTGTCCCACTTCAACTATTGAAACTTAATTCTCTGCATAAAAAATAGGCCAATGTGGCCACATATCAGAATATCAGAAAATACTACAAGAAAGGAAAATAACGAGTTTGAAACTTGAGCAACTTTAATTGTAGAGAACTGGAAATTTTTTTTTATAAATTATCTTGTTTAAATATCTTGTTGAGTAATAAAAATTTAAATACTAATGTCTTATTTTGAAATGAATTCATTAAATTTTAAATAATTAAATGCTTATTTTTAGACCGTTAAACTTAAGAACATTAAATTAGTTAAAATATTAAAACACACTCATTATCTGACATTTATTTACATTATTAAACTGAATCTATTTTTATTGTCATCTTTATTTCTTTAAAGAACAACTTTTATTTAGCAAATTAAATGCCTATTAAATTTCACATACTTAAAAATAAATAATTCTTGTTAAAATTCATTTCTATGGTTAAGTTTTCTAGATATTCCAAATAAAATGTCAGAATTTATGGGAATCTCAATATATTTCTGGCCTTAGGACATGTACTTGATTTATTGAGATTAAAAGAAAAATATGATCTTAATTTAGATCTTGACTGTACAAATATTTTTGGACATCAGAAGTTGCTTTATCACTTGATGACATCTGCATTAACATAAGTTTTTTTGACAATTTTTGTTTAAAGTTTTCCTTTTAAATAATTTCTTTACAAATTTTTAAAATTTTCCATAGTTAATTATTAACATTTTCTCCAAATAGTTTTTATATTTTAATAAATGTATTTCAGGTTTGCAATAGTTATATGAACTGGTTATAATGACTATAATTTCATAAAATACTTTATTTCCTAATCTGGTTTTCCTTCTATAATTTTATTTTTCTTGGATGGTTCTGCTGCATTACTTTCAAGTATTGCAGGGAAGCATCTTGCCAAAGTAACTGTTTCCTGGAAGTAAACAGGTTCCTTGATGTACCATTTGGCAGTGTTGTATCTTGTCATGAATATGGAGCATTTATGGAAGGGTGAATAATGGAATAAAACTTATTTGCATTATTTTAAAACTTAGATTTGAGTGTTTTTTGTATTTATCCTATACATATAAAAGATTAAAATTGTCAATAAAGTGTTAATTGTTTCAAATCAGACTTTGACTTCATATATTCTAGATTTAAAGTTCCATGTAATATTTGATGTTTAACACTTTTTAAATTCTATTTCAGGGTTTGACTAGCCACTTAGTTTTTGCCATTGCAGCTGCTGCATTGGGTTCTTCATTCCAGCATGGTTATAATACAGGTGTTGTCAATGCTCCAGAAAAAGTAAGTTATATTTTAATTTGATATTGTGTTTTTAGTGAATTTTTCTAACAAGTCTTCTATATAATTAGTTGGTTCAAGAATTCATCAATGAAACATATTCAGCAAGATTTGGAGAGAGAGCAGATAAACAAACTATAACAATAATTTATTCTATTATGGTCTCCATTTTCTGCGTGGGTGGAATGGCGGGTGCTCTAATGACTGCATATATAGCAGAGAAATTTGGAAGAAAGAAGGGCTTGCTGTTAAATAATGTGTTTGTTTTTATTGCTGCTGCTTTTATGGGATTTTCCAAGTTGTGCAGATCATATGAAATGCTCATTTTCGGTCGTTTTTTTATTGGTCTTAATTCTGGTATGATATTCAAAATTCAAAATCTACTCAGAGTGGAGATAACAGAATTTTTGAATGTAAATTTTTGCACATAGGTTTGAATGCCGGTCTTGCTCCAATGTATTTAACAGAAATAGCTCCTTTGCATCTGAGAGGTGCGGTTGGTACAATTTATCAGCTAGTGGTTACCATTTCAATTCTTGTATCACAGGTTCTTGGATTACCTGAGATTCTTGGAACATCAGATAGATGGCCATTTTTATTTGGTAAGAATTTTTTTAATTATTTATTTTGATTAGTTATTCTGCTGTAACTAATTATTTTTGGAATGTTCTACAATGACTGATTAAATTATATTTTTAGATATTCTAAAATGAGACAAATCTTATGCTATATATTGTGGGCATCACAGAAAATTTTCCAGGGATATAAAGATTGGAGACAAATAATTTAGTTTTTTTACATAAGTAGATTACAGAATACCACTTTGCATCCCAGCATGGTTGAGGGTATAAGGTTACATCTCAATCACTTTTGACCATAATTTGTGAAATTTTTTACTCAATTATGGTAGGGGCAAGCACCTCATATGCCCCTTCTGTGGATACCCATGCTATATATCATATCATTAAATGTTAAATATTTAAATATTAACTGAACATAATGTTCATCAGTTAAACCAGTTCTTTAGATAATTCTTTATCTTCTTAACATCTTTAAGGAATTAATAGGGATATTTTCCTTCTAGCTATGACAATAGTACCAGCAATCTTCATGCTTGTCACAATGCCACTTTGTCCTGAATCCCCAAAATATATACTCATCACGCAAGGAAGGGATGTTGCCGCACAAAAATGTAATTATTGAGTAATATAAACTTTGAATTATTGAAAGAATTGTTATAAAATTTATTTTGAATTATCTTTTAGCTTTAACTTGGCTAAGAGGTACAATTGAAGTACATGATGAGATGGATGAAATGAGAGCAGAATACGAATCTATGAAATTAGTTCCAAAGGTAACACTGTATGAGATGTGGCATAACCCGAGTCTTCGCCAACCACTCTTTATAGCGGTTGCTGTGATGTTATCGCAACAATTATCTGGTATTAATGCTGTAAGTATAAAAATTTCTTAAAAACAAATTTATATTTAATTTTTAAATTCATATCTAATAAAACTGTGTTGCAGATTATTTTCTTTTCTACTGGAATATTTGGTGATGCTGGATTGAAAGAAGATGAAGCACTCTATGCTACTTTAGGTATGGGTAGTATCAATGTAGTGATGACAATAGTTTCACTAATTCTCGTGGAAAAGTCTGGAAGACGTACACTTCATCTTGTTGGCTTAGCAGGAATGTGTATCTCAACTATTTTATTAACGCTCTGCCTGAAACTAAAGGTAACTAACTGGTTGCATTTTGTTAACCTGAATACATTTCTAAGTTTTTTTCATTGATTTATATAACTTTTTTATATTTAGGATGAAGCACACTGGTTATCATATTTCAGCATAGTATTGGTTATTTTCTTTGTGATTATGTTTGCTACTGGACCTGGTAAGTAAAGTTTGCCATCTAATTTTAAATTTTAATATCTAGAGAGGAATAAATTTATAAAAATCACAATAAAACTATTTCACAATATATGTAAGATCTAGTAATAGTAGTATTGTATATAAACTAATAAATACAAATTTTTGTAGGTTCAATTCCTTGGTTTCTTGTAACTGAATTGTTTGGCCATGGAGCTAGACCAATTGCAACTAGTATTGCTGTTGCAGTTAACTGGAGTGCTAATTTTATTGTTGGTCTTTGCTTTCTACCATTAAAGGTATTATTCTTTATAAAATAAAATTAAAACAATTTTTCCACTTCAAAGATATAATTCATTCCTTTTTATTATTAGAATTTGATAGGAGAATATATCTTCCTCATCTTCTCGGCACTTCTGGTGGTGTTTTTGATCTTCACATATAAGAAAGTTCCTGAAACAAAGAATAAGACTGCTGAAGAGATTGCTGCATTATTTCGTCAAAAGGCCTATCAATGAGTTATAAACACTAATATTGTGATGTGTGTATAAACAAGCAATAGTGATAGAAAAAACATATATATAAATGCACATTATAGTGGGAGGGGAAACTGGGGATCGTTTAAGATGGACCATGGACTTTGAATTATTTCAACAAATTACCTTTTAATGTGATGCAATAAGTTCCATTTCATGCAGCCACGAGACAAATATCAGCAAGTTTTACATTCAACGGCTGCATAATATACCACAGGGTACAGGACTGTCTGTGGGTATGACCAGATACGTATATGCCATATCTTAAGTGACATTAGCTTTGCGCATACCGTCCTGTATTGGACACGCTAACGGAAACTGTGCCTCGCCCGTGACTTGTATGTTCATACATTCACGTTGTTTAGGGTGCTTGTCACTGTGTGAATATAGAATATGTAAATAAGTGGAAAAAGTATATATTATACAAAGTTTCTAAAGGCATATACCCTGCAAAAATAGAAAAATTATATCAAGAAAATTTTAGAGAGATTTTGTAATCCAAGCACAAGG